TTCGCGACCCGCTTAAAATAGAGCCGCCGTATACTCCGTAGGTCGTCGATCCCTCTTCCGCGTCACCTGCCATGCCGCCTGCCTGCAGCTCGTGTCAAGATACGAGGAAGCCCAGCGGCTGCGCGTGCAACCACTGTCGCGCCGATGTCAAGAAACGGCACCGATCGAACGGTCATTGACTAAAGGCTTTCGACGGTAAATAACCTTACGCGCTTGAGAGTCTCGCGAGTTCTAAAAGAAAACGGCTGTCGTTAGACTTCACGGCGGAAAGGGGTTAACGACGGCTCGCGGCGCTGCCGAAGGTTCGCGTTGCATCGCGATAAAATGCGAATAAGGCTCGTCGCGCTTTTGTACACGTTTCAGATGCGCTGATCCGCCTGTCGCAGCTCGTTTTTCACCATTTTTTTTTTACATCCGCCAAGCGGTCTCTCTGTGTTACTTGTTGCTCGTATGTACACGAAAAAAAAGATTTGTCTTAAATCAATGATAGATATTCTCATATATGAGCAAGAATATCAGAAGATTTTTTATGTTGATTTTATTGAATTTGTATCGATGCAAATATTACTTGCACTCAAACCAAGACTAAAAATTTTCTAAGAGTATTGTAATAGTCTTGCTGTAATATCCATCATTGATTTAAGACGATTTTTTTCTGTATAGGAGAAACGTGTTTTCGTTAACACCTCATACGTAAATTTGTAACTCGGTTCGTTCCTCATATTTAATTCGTGGCTGATATTTTACAAGAATTATTATGTACAATTATTATACAAGCTTCTTGTTTAGAAATTATTAACCTTAGACTATAAAAATATAATTCCTTCCTTTGTGTCAGCATTTGATGATTAATTATTATCAACAACTATATGTTTCGATGATTGTGGATACTTGATACGACGTAACGTTTGGGAAATTGGAGAAATTATCTCGTTGTTAAGTGCTCCGTTTTTAACCCTTCAGTGGCGCGTAAAAATTTGAAACATTTACGGACGCTTAGGGTATAAATTACACCCTACGTTATTTATGCTATAAATATTAAACCAATTAATATTTTTTGTCTTCTATTTGATATTATTGAAGGGTTAGAAACAGCACGTTCCCGTCAACATTCTTCGATGGTATGACACGTGGACTATCACTTTGTGTTTGATAAAGCCCGATCGCGTTATCGTGACGCAGAGGACGATGCTTTGTCCGCGTTCGTCTGCTATGTCAGACGGAACGGATATCGTACGAGTCGAGGGGATCCCACAGACAACTTGCACGTTTTATAACGAGTCTGCTGCTGATTCGCCGTGAAAAAGAGAGAGAAAGAAAAGACGCGAAGTGCAAGAGAGAGCACGCGGGGCAGAAAATCCGCTTACGGAAGAACGCGCGCGTGTGGGAGTTGACCAAGCCCGGATTTCACTACCTACATTTTGCGGGCCGTGTTGTTCCTCCCGCATTGTGACTCACTTTTCTGTTCTCTTGCGACATTAACGAGACTGACCGTGAGGAGGAAATCCGAATCTCGCTCTTATCGCAGTTACCTGCTCGCGTGAGGAACTCGGCTTCGCGGAAAGCGACGGGAACAAGTGGGAACAAAAAGAAAGCAGCGCGGCTTCATCTGCGATATCGCGTACCGCTATATGTCGCGTATTTAAAGAGATTCGCTAATGGCACCGCTCGTCTCCCCCCTCGTCGAGGCCGCCGGCTACAAACGAGCCCGCCGCAACAAAGCAACGTGTAAAGGGCACAAAAGACGTCAAAGCGGCTCCTCCGCACTGCGATCGTTCGTGCGCCTACCTGTCGAAGTGGCGGCGGCGATGGGCCAAGGGAGCCCGTCGCGGCGTTTTTCTCGACTCTCCGCGAGCCGACGCTTCCTCCGACCGTCCTTACGCGATGTCACTGACCCGAGTCCGTATCTCGATGCACAAGAATAAGGAGGAGCAGAGGGAGAGAGAGGTAGGGGAGCAGAAGGAGAAGAAGAAAGAGAAGAGGGAAGGAGGAGGAGGAGACGGCACCGAGATTCCATCGTCGTAGTCATCGTTTGTCGTCACCCACGGCTAGCCGCCTGGTCGCCGTGCCGACGACGTGAAACGACGGTTGCGATCGCGTCGGCAACGGCGGCGGTCGGAGAGGAGCGCGATAGCGTTGCACCGGTGCAACCATGGCGTGGCCCGGCTTGCCCCGGCCCGGTCTGGCCCGACTCAACTCGACACTCCCGTGGTGGGGAGAGAAGACCTTGAGCCGCGTCACGTGACCCCGAAGGTGCATAGGAGCCGGGTAGGGCGGTCGCGGAGGGCCTTGAACTTACCGCCGACGTCGTCGCCGGCGTCGTAACTATCGCGCTCGCGTTCTCGGCTCGTCTCCACGCGAGAGTTGCTCCGAGCGCGAGGGAGACGGAGAAACGAGCGGAAAGAGAGAGAGAGAGGGACGTAGCGTCGTGACTGCTCGTCACGTGTGCGACCGCAGACCATCGGGCCTTTATCCTGCCCAAATCGCTCTTCACCTTCCGCACCGGGAGGCACCGAGAGGGCGAGACAGGAAGGAGAGGAGAGCGTCGTTCCGGGCTCTCCCCCCGGTGTGTACGCTCGTTTTCGAAAACGTAGACCGCAGCGGGGCCGGTATGCGAGGAGAGCTACCTACCTGCCGTACGTACGCAGGTAGGTGGGTGAGGCGAGACGGGTGCCAGAGGACGACACTCCGCGCGGTATCGCGCCGCGACGAGACCGTACACACCGGTCCCGATATGCTCTCGACCCCTCTCGGAGCTCCGCGTTCCGCTCGTAACTAAAACGCTGTCGTTACGCCGCTCTTCGCACCGAGACGCGCACCGTGCGAGCGGCTGCATTTCGTTGCCCGGCGGTAAACTAGTCCAGTGAGAGAGTCTGGGAGCGGAGACGGGTGGATTCTCAGAGAGCGCACGAGCTGACAGACGTGCATTCCCGTGCACACCGCGAACGAGGTGCACGTCCGTGAGCGCCGTCCGGCCGCGAGATAGCGGCTGCGTTATGATGCGTGAAATAACGCCGAGCGACGCTACGGTATATTCCCCGTGCAGTCTTGCGCAGCTCGTGATCTCTCACGATTATTTACCTTTGGTGAATAAGTCGGCGTATTAATATATATATATGTATATCGAGCGGACGAGAGAGAGAGAGCGGCTCTCTCGTTTATTTTTAGCGTTACCTGCCTGCTTCCGCGAGCATGACGCGGGAACTGGGAGGTGTTAATCATTAATGGAGCCCGCGGTTCTCGCGAATAACGCGCCTCCGGCTTATCCGTACGCCGCACGTAAATGATTTTAATTATCCGAGCAGTTTACGCTTCAGAGCGTGTGACCTAGATGAACGCATATTTTGCAACACGCTCGGCTAGCAAAGACTCGCGCGTACGGCAGATCGGAGTGATAAATCCCCGTAGTTTCCGCAACGACATGTCCAAAAAGTATGAAATACCGGCCGCTATTTTACCGTTGCGAGAACGCACGCGCTCGCGCGCGCACAGTGTGAGCTACCAGAGATTCCACGATATGAAAATCCAGCAACGGAAATCGAGCGGCTGCACTCGCTACTATTTTCTATCCGATGCTTTGCTGTTTCTATTATATATGATTATCATGATATAATTATATCTTGGAATATATCACTGAATATTAAGTACGCGATACACTCGGTTAAAGTTGGGTTTATTTCGAGGTGTAATCTTTCTCGCACATTTTACGGCACATATTACCATAGACTTCTTTACAGAATATATTATAATCAATTTCCGCTAAATAAAACGGAAGAGATTTCATAGATTTGCTCCTCATTTTCACAAAACTCCGCAAATAAAAGCTTACTGAGACCCATTGTACCGATTTTCCTCGAAAGAGCATCGATTCCTCGAAGAATAGGGTGTCGAGACAATCGTATGAAAATGTTGTCTCTTGCAAAAATTCAACTTCCGCGCAATACGGGAAGAAGAAGCTGAGCCTGGAATCGAGTAATTGGGGCCGCAAAAGGAAGAAGAGGAAGAGGAGAAGCAAGAAATAGAACTGATTCTGAAAAATCCAAGCGGAATCGCGAACCACTGCCGAGCACTCGTCTCGCACGCGTTCGCACCATGTGCGGGCGTGAGTGAACGTGTGCGTTTCCGCGCGAAGGTCGTTCGGCGGTTCCGCGGGACCGGAAGTGGGCCGGCCTTGCGGCACGACCATCGGCGTAACCTTGCGGGAAAGACTCGACTGTGTGTCAGCGTTCGCGAGATCGTGCCTGTCTAAACGCACGGCTGGATTTTCGGTGAACGATCGCACGAGAAGCTCCTCGATACACGAGCTAACCCTTTGCGCCCCGCGGGTTTTTTGCGCCGACAGAGTTTGCTTCGCGCGCACGCTCGAATTTTTATCATGCTTGGTGTGTGCATTTTGTACTTATTTGCATGTATTTATAAAAGAGAAATAACACCTTACAGCAGATAATCAAACTAAAGCGCTCATTTATCGACATTGATTATAGACTGCAATTTAATTTTAATTTAGCACAATGTTGTCGTTGCGGGACCATCGAATCATATATATTCTATTAAGCTCGTCAGATGTGCCTGGACAGTCGATTTGTTTTTGCTTGTTTATGCTGATGACTTCTATTTGTGGTCACTTTGCTTTTGCGTCCCGACTCTGATACCTGATACGATGTTTAGTTCCCTTGAGGAAAGTCCAAATGAAGGCCGCGAAACGTATGAATAAATCTTAATGATACATCTTCAGTGTCGTTGAGTTTACTCTGATTGCACTATTACATTCCTAAGTTCAAATTCACCATTCCGCTGAAATTCGAGAGGGACGTTTCGGAAACGAAGAACAACGCGTGAATTCATATAAGTTTTGGCTCGCGTTTGTTCACCACCGAATGTTACTTTATTGAGGCCGTCATACGTTTCATTGGCTTTTCTCGATACTTTTTTTCGCGTCAACATAATGAAGGGAAAACGGAATGAAGATGCTACGAGTCTCCTTCTTCTTTATTTTTCAGCGACTCGGGGGAAACGTGAAGAGATCGGTATCGGTCGTGCACAACACGCAGTTCCCGATAATCCGCGGCGGCGTGTGAACAGGAGGGGTCCGCCGTAAGGATGCTGTACGCTTTCGCGGAGATCAAGAGGCCGCGAGTCCTATCACGAGCAGTGCGCAGCAGCGCGACCAGCTGAGAATGTCGGAGCAAAACGGGCCCAGCGAGGGCCCAGGACCAGGGCCCGGATCGGACGGCGGCTGGTGGCCGTCCACGCAGACCTGGAAGTCAACGGCGGCCGTTTCGTCGAACTCGTCGACCTCCACTCCGGCGGCAGGTTCCTCGTCCGTCTCTGTTTCCTGCGCCAGCTCGTCCGCGACGAGCTCCTCCACCTCGACCATCTCGTCCGCGACCTGTTGCCCCTCGTCTTGCATCGGTGTATCCTGCACGATGAGCCCGACCCGTTCGACGGAGACGGAGAAAAACGTATCCATCACGACTATTAACGTACCCCCCAGTCAAGAGATGCACGATGGTAATTATTCCGACCCCGAGGCCGCGAGAGATTCCTTTAACATGGCGAACGTCACTTTATTTCTCTTCGGATAATCCCTGATATGATATACGGAGTAACCTAAAATATAGAGTGTATAGGGAGATTCTTCATACTAGAAGTAATTTTTTCCTTAACGAAAGTGTCGAGGAAGGTTATTATTTAGAGACTTTTTAATTTTTAACATAACACATCTTTGGAGCTATGCCTTAAATTATAATTTTGTTTAAGTAAAATCTACTTTCTACTTGAAATTGATCAGAGATGATAATTTTGCTATCCATTTGATTCCTATTATTTATATTGATAAATCACACGCATAATCCAGGAGATGAAGAATAAATGACTTATCCGCCTATAATTTCAGATAAAGGAGTATGTAAATATCTGGGAGGACAGAATGGTGTGACGGTGTCGGTAGTATCGACTTCCGTATTGGGATGTGGAAACACAAACGCCGTCCCGACATCCGGGTTATGCGCGAACGCTGGGCCGCACAACATCGGGATCGGCATTCTGGCCGCGAACACGGCGGACATCGACGATCCCGAGGATAGCGACGGCGAGATCAGCAAAATCGACTTCCGAGGCGTCAATCTACGTTCAAAGAAGAAACGTGACGTGTCCGGTAACCAGAACGGCGACAAGATTGGTGACGGGGACGTGAACGGTGACGGTGGTGGATGCTGCGACGGCAATGACAACTCACAACAGCAACCTGAGAGACCCATGTCGTGGGAGGGGGAACTGTCGGACCAAGAAATGTCTTCCAATACGATTACCGATCAGGTAGGATTTCTGCCTTGTGAGAGAACAAACACAAATTTCGAGAAAACGAGAGCGTGCTCTGACGAGGGATTCTCGCTTAGAAAGCGGAGGATTTATCTTCGGTCGCATCGATACCGGAATTGGAAAAAGTTAATGACACTGAGCTTACGAAGCTTACTCTTGTAAAAATAACTCGTCATCGTTACTCATTGAGAAAAAAAAGTCGAATAACTCATTATCCAACGAAATATAATTGCGTTACCATTATCGTTATTAATGAAAGAACAACAATGCCGAATTGTTAGTGAAAAAAAGATAACGGCGTTACGTGTATTTTCGAGCCTTGATCGATACTGCTATTCAATTTCAGGACGATCATAAAGAAATCTCCATGGAAGGGGTACAAGTGTGCAGCACGAGTCCCGAGCCTATGGAGCAGAAGTTTCAGATCAAATCGGAGCCGGATTTTCGATCCAGCACGGGTTTCACAATAGGATCCTTTCACGACGCCGGGCTGCCCATGACACACAATCAACAATTGCAGCAACAACAGCAACAACAGCGGGCTATTGAGACTCTCGAACAGACTCAGCAAAACGATCTACCACTTCTCGTAGGTAAACTCCTCGGCGGATACAACAGTTCGACGCCTAATCACAGTCCCGTTCTGAATCCGCGGCATCATCTGACGAAACACAGTCACACCAGATCGCAGGTAAGCCGACACGTCGACCGTACGAAGCCCGTCGGGATATTTCATCCGTCCAGTTCGTCGGGATATTTCATCACGTTTCGCACGTTCTAACTTGCCAAAATGTCGGTAGGTGCCGTCGCCGGATTCCGCCATTCATTCCGCTTATAGCGTCTTCAGCTCGCCGACACAGAGTCCTCACGCGGCGCGACATTCCGCCTTAGGCGCGGGCAGCCCGATACCCTCCTCGTCGTTGTCGCTCTCCCGGCACAGCTTCAACAATTCGACCTCCTCGCTGTCCCTCTCGCTGTCGCACTCGCTCTCGAGAAACAACTCGGACGCGTCCAGCAGCTGCTACAGCTACGGCTCGCTCAGCCCGCCCACTCATTCACCCGTCCAGCAGCCGCGACATCCGCACTCGCACTCGCAGCATCATCAGCATCAGGTGGCGCAAGGTAGCCCGCTTCATCTGCCGGCGTCATCCGCAGTCACGGGTCATCATTACTCGTCCTCCTCTGTACCAGGGTCCGAGCTGTCCTCGGATGGACATGCGGCCACGGAGGATCAGGAGGACTGTAGGATACCGTCTGCGCCGTCTGGCATCTCCACCAGGCAGCAACTGATCAACAGCCCCTGCCCGATCTGCGGCGACAAGATAAGCGGTTTTCACTACGGCATCTTCTCGTGCGAGTCGTGTAAGGGCTTCTTCAAGCGCACCGTCCAGAATCGCAAGAACTATGTGTGCCTTAGAGGCGCAGGTTGCCCGGTCACCGTGGCCACAAGGAAGAAGTGCCCAGCCTGCCGCTTCGACAAGTGCCTCAACATGGGTATGAAGCTCGAGGCGATCAGGGAGGATCGTACCAGAGGTGGTAGGAGCACTTATCAATGCACGTACACCTTACCGGCGAATCTCGTTGGCAGTCCTGCCGGCGGTATGACCGGCGAGAAGCTCACTACGGCCGGCAATTGCAGTCCGGCGCCGGCTGGCAGCGAACACCATTATCCCGTTCGACATCATTCGAATCATTCTCACAAGATGCAGGTGGTGCCGCAGCTCTTGCAAGATATCATGGACGTGGAGCACCTCTGGCATTACAACGACAACGACCGGATAAGCGGTGGCGGTGTGTCCGCTGGAAACATCGTGAGAAACTCCGCTGGTAGTGACGGTATGTTACTCGGTGGGCCTGGAAGTGGGTCGACCGGCACTGCCGCCACTGGTATCGGCGCCGGAGGCGCGGTGGAATGCTCGTCGAACGATTTCGGCAACGTCGACGCTAACAACAGAAGGGGAGACTCGGCGACTACGTGTCCTACCGGCGTCTCGCCCTCCGCCGGGGCGCCCGATCAACGCTCCACGAACAGTAATACCGCGAACAATAGCAATCCTCAGCTCGGCAGTAACTGCAGCAGCAATTCGACGCAACACTCGGACTCGCAAGTGTCCAATCTGTGCAACATCGCGGATCATCGGCTCTACAAGATAGTCAAGTGGTGCAAGAGTCTGCCGCTCTTCAAGAATATCTCGATCGACGATCAAATTTGCCTGTTGATCAACTCCTGGTGCGAATTGCTACTTTTCTCATGCTGCTTTCGCAGCATGAGCACTCCCGGTGAGATAAGAGTGTCTCTCGGCAAGTCGATTACTCTAGAACAAGCGAGGCAGCTTGGTTTAGCGACCTGCATCGAGAGGATGCTCGCTTTCACCAACAATCTGCGAAGGCTGAGAGTAGACCAGTACGAATACGTCGCAATGAAGGCGAGTCTCGTGATAATCACAGTATCATCGATGGCGAATGTATCTTAATCTAATGCTTCTTCTCTCAAATTAACAGGTGATCGTGCTGTTAACCTCCGACACAAGCGAGCTAAAAGAGCCTGAGAAGGTCAGAGCTTCTCAGGAGAAAGCCCTTCAAGCACTGCAGCAGTATACAATCGCGAGGTATCCGGAGATGCCCGCTAAGTTTGGCGAATTACTATTGAGAATTCCAGATCTACAAAGAACATGCCAAGTGGGGAAAGAATTGCTCAGTGAAAAACGCGCCGAGGGCGAAGGCAGCTCGTTTAACCTTCTAATGGAGTTGTTGAGGGGAGATCACTAAATTATCAACGAAATGAACAATGCCGTAAGTTTAGTAACAAATAAGCTAAGTAACATGTTATTATGTCAAAATGATGTGGCTTTATCGAGTACAATTTTCTGCTTGTCGTCAGCAAATTTCATAAACAGCTTTCTTACTTATATATGTATAAAAATGTATAAATCTATTTTTATATATAACCTTTACATTATTACAATTATAGACTGTTATTATGAGTAAATATTTTCTGATAAGGCTATAATCGCCAGCAAAATGAAGTTATGACGCGACAACGACCGTCAAAGTTTCAAGACAACCGTTGTGAAAAATGCTATATGAGTATACAAACGGATTAGATTGAAATTAGACTTGTCTCTTTCCAGATTCCACGCTTATAGGGTCCATAAGCTTAGGGAATCGGATATAATAGATAATCGCAGAGTAAACTGATTAGAGAAGAGAAAACGGCAGATGTAAGGTCCATAATGACATTAGCACTTGGTGAGGGGACTGCATTCTTCGTAGGCTGTATTTCGAAATTGACTGTGCTGACAGTACTTTCAACTGCTTCTGCCGACGGAACATGTATCGCAAACGTTCATTAACTACATATGTATGTTATATAACTACTATATGTAGGCTAGGCTATAGTTATGAACGTAAGTGGCACCATCAACATTGTCAATACTGTCAGCACTTTCGGATCGCAGCCATAATTAGGGCGTATCAGCCCGGTAATAATAAAAAGAACTTTCCTTTTACACCGGAATACGCTTCCATACAGGTCGTGCGTGTCGCATTCCTGTTCTTTGTTTTTTTTCTTTTTTTTTTTAAACAAACGAATTTCGAAGCGGCCTATATACGGTATGGTATGCTGAAACCGTAAATTCAGTGTACATGTAAATGCAAATGAGACTGAAAGTATAATTGACGGAGACACGAGAGCATTTACTTTTACAATGATAAGCGATGTATAATACGGAGATGGTATCAAACGGTATCAAAATGCTAAAATTCTATAATAGTAGGCGAATGTAATCTATTCGAGCGCGAGCTTTACAGTAGCAGGCGCGATTCTATCTAGACAGAGTTGACCTCTAATAACGATTATAATAGAACAACCAGTATTTCGTATCGTTCTGCGCTTACTTAAGAACAGAGCATAGCCATGCCTTATAATCCCGGTTATGAAAGTGTACTTAAAACTTAAAACATCAGTCGACCAATTATCTACTTATAGAGCAGTTAATCATGGAATAATTAGTTAATATGCTTAGTTAGAATATCGTCCATAGAATACGTGGTTTCTATCGATCACACAAAATACATTTTTTATTCTCTTTATATGTTTTAACAGCTCGCCAATGGAAACGAAAATTTTATAAGTTTCAATTGGCACGAACATCGCAGAAATTTCCTAGGTGATGTCAGCAATACGTATAGCTGCTATCTTTTCTGTAAATATGTCTTCTAGAGGAAAGAATCGGCTGATATTGCTCTTCCGTTTTTTTTTTTTAATAGAAATTATTTTATATATTTTTATTCTTAGGAAGGAATATGCAAATTTTTAAATAATAAATCGACCTATACCCTCCTCAGTCTCGAGGGAAAAATGTACTATCTCCAGATGCATTTTGTATTGTACTGTATAAAAAAAAAAAGAAACAAAAATTGACTATAAAAAATCATGAGATACAAATAAATACCAAAGTAGATATTTTTTCTATTATGGCAACTCGAAACTTTGTTCAGCTGGCTGCACAAAGGGACTAAGGAGGATATATTGTTTACGCATTTATAAATATATTAAAAATATATATTTTTTGCATATTATATACGATCAAAGTATAATTTTGAGAAGATATTGGTTTGCGTTTCTTTCAATATATTTGCTGGGAAACTTTTATTAAATTTTATACTTTGTTAAATTTTATGCTAATATCGATAAGAACATATTTATTATCTGTAATGACCTTAAAGCTATTAAAATTAGCCAGTTTGTCAATATTAATTATAATTTTATTGTTAATTATTATTTTATTTTCGGACATTTTCTGGAACAATATGAACTATTAAAGCTCATGACTATTCGCTACAACTGTTTTTGTTTGATAATGTCAGAAGCGAAGAAACGTATGTCCAAAATTCTTGCGTTTATATGTTCAAAGAAAAGAATATAGCCGCAAAATGACATTTTTGACTCATACAATCAATAAATAGTTGTAAAATTAACTTGATATGGAACTTCTCTTGCTAACCTCTTTTCTTATGATTTTGTCAATGTTAATTTTACGACGATTTCGTCAATGTTAATTTTACGACTATTTATTGATTGTTGATATTTTATTGATATATCTTTTTTATTTCAATAATTTGTTTGTGTGATGCAAAAATTCTCGGTATGCGTTTTCTCGCTTCTGACGTCATCAAACAAAGACAATCGCGAATAGTCGAATAGTCGAAAGCCTTAATTATAATTTTACTGTTAATTATTATTTTATTTTCAAACATCTCTCTCGGACACAATATGGACCATTAATACATACTGTTATTAGAGAAAATGTGATTTTAAAAAGCTCGATTTGTCTATAGAATTTTTGTTAAATTCGCATACGCGATATAATATTGATTCTTTTTTATCGTATGCGTGGAGAATATATCATGAGACATTTGCAATTACGAAAATGAGAATGCTTATTTTGAAAGAAATGCATTATAAATGTAACTTGAAAGATGCAGCTATAAGCTTGCGCGTGAAACGAACACATTGATCTCTGTCGTTGGTACTTTAATGAGACTGTCATATATTAGCACATTGTTCTTTTTACTACAGTCGCTTAGTATCTTTTTGTTTGTTGACAATGACCTGTGGAAAATATCTAAGGGATATCCTGAGGCACTTAAAAATACTTGCTGATTCGCAATACTTAATATAAAGATAACTTATAAGAACACCGTCTTCCCACAATTTCTACCTATTTTATTAGAAAATAACTTATCATCCCCTCGATGTATATGCGCACACATATCATTCGCGAAACTACCAAGAATATAATTTCCTTTCCAAAAACTCATTAGAAACATTTGTAAAATACTGAGGTCGCCGATAATAGCCTGTACATCTCATCATACACAATAATAGCGATAATGTAACAAAAACAAAACGTTAGCCAGTATTTTGGATGACTCATTATCGGATTGGTATTAAAATGTTTCAAAGCAGATGCTTAGTTTGATTATATTTACTTATAGATGCAACGAAAGTAACGCTGTAAATATAAAGAGAAAGAATCATATTTTGTTGTGACGAGTGCGTGTGCGGAATGCGTGTGAGGCAGAAACGAGAGCGGAGGAAAGAAAGAGCGAGAGAAAGCGAGAGCGTGCGATGAATGATGATACACTTGTAATAAAGCATATAAAAGTCGACTTAAGCGAAGTAGAATTACAAGAAGATAAATATTTGCCTGTTAAAAACAAAGTGACTATTCTATGTTTATGTTTGACAAAAGCTATTTCTATATACTTTTTAACGAGACACTTCTGCTGTAGCTCAGTGATATAATTGTCCTCATTTGTGTGTGGTGACACGCGATAAAAGAACCTGCTTGATTTTGTTGTGTGCGAGAAAAGCTAGCCCGTAGAGAGACACTCCTACTCTAATCGCGACGATTCAGTTTTTTTTTTTCCCAACAACTATCATCAAGAAAGGATACTACTCAATGGATATAGTCTTCCGTTTACGGTGTAACACGATGTCGTCGCGAGTGACGATACTCCGCGTTTGTTATATAACAATTACGAAGATTCGACGAGAAATCTTTTTGCCAATCATGACAATATTCGGAGGAAGCTGTGCGAAAACGAATCGGATAATATATACGATATACGAAGAGCTTAAATACGACAGACTGCAATGACAATTATATTATATAAATAAATATATATATATATATATATATATATATATAAATATATATATATACAGAGATGTACACGTTGTAAGAAAGAAGGTTGTAAGTATAAACGGCAAGGGTAACACCGGACGTAAGGGCCAAACAGCAGTGTAATATTAAACAGACCGTATCCTAGAGATAATATTGTGGATACTCAACGTATAGTATTTCTTATCGATATATTATTGAATATACAGAGCGAGAAATTTTATCAGGGGGAAACGAAAGAGGATACCGTCGGAGTTCTTACTCGTCAACTAGCTCGGCAGTCCCGCGAAAATCGCACGACTCGATATTGTTAGAATAAACGTGCTCTCGCTCGGCGTATGATAATTTACGCTTCACGTAACGAACGAATAATTCGTCACATGCCAGACGAGAGACGATTTTGCTTGTGAACATGTGTGAACAGTGAGAAACGCATTCGGCATCAAGCTACTTCGAACACTACTGATCTAGTTGAATCGCGACAGAAAAAGACAAGCCCGTGACACGTTACTGCTGAGAATATTTCGTTCCCGATGTAGAGGAGGATAGCTATTCACACGAACACAATTAGAAAGTAGTTTTATACATACAACACGAATTATCATTACGAAATAAAAGAAAAAAAAAACTTTTTACAAAAAGAAACGATATATTCCTTGTAATATATCGTCCTCCCAAACGACTTTCATTTTGCTTTCCATTTCTTTTTCTCTCAGAATTCGCGCAGGTGTTGCACATGCAATATACATATTACCGTCACTCACTCGGAGATTTTCCTTCCGGCAGTATGAAGGGCGTACTACGCGGCCATTTGTACTCCTAATCGCCACGATGCCCGTGATGCTTTGTTTTCCTTTCACTGATATCCATTTTCCGCGTTACCCCGGCGACATATCGCCGCGAAACACACGTTAAGCTCACTCTCGGCGAAATTTCACGCGCGCATCTTCGCGGCGACTCGGCAACGCAAGCGGCTGCGATTTGAATCTCGCGATTTTAACCGCCATTATGCAGTCGGCGTTCCCGACCACCCCACTTTGCGAAGGTGTGTGTTAGACATTATCGACGGCTATTTCGTGATATTTCGCCGCGAGAAACGCGCGGGACACGCGACATTCCCGACGACGATGCTCCGGAGACTCCCGGTGGGTTGGAACGACTCAAGCCACCGGTCGTCGTAACGCGGTTAACGGTCGACGCTCCCGACGAGCGCGAGATACTCGCTTTCGACCGGTCGCCCGGCGATATTTTCTCGCAGCACACGCGCGAGACTCCCAGCGACAGGGAGATCGCGCGTGAGATCACGGACAAGTCTAGGTAGTCGGAAGATACGAGACGGATTTCGAATACGACGTCGTGTTGCGCTTCATAAATGACCGAATTCACTGCGACTGAGATGTTCGATGTATCGATGCGCACGGGAGACGCGCCTGCGCTCTGATTCGCCGCTTTGACGGTGGCTTATTAATCAAGTTTATTTATCAAGAAAACTTTGCAATTCAAAGCGCATAAAATGTTCGAGATAGCCCCAATGTCAGAACGAACAAATGTCATCGAGTGGTGGCCGATAATCGCGTGTGTTGATTATTGTATTGAAATTATTCGGATGATCTCGTTCAAAAATTCACCGCGGTTGAGACTGTCACGTGACTGTGCTGTACGACCGCTTGCTGTCGCGTGCAAGTGATTTGCGGACAATGATAAAGTAACCTGAATCAATTTCTCCCCTCGGTCGTATCTAGTCGTTCCCGGTGTTTCCTAATTACCAAACACGTGGTGCCGTGCATCCATCATGGGAAGCACGGACAACGCGACGAAGAACATGCTAAACGACAACCAGGACTTCGTTGACGAATACGGAGCAAATCTCAAGATCCTGCCTTGTAACAACCAAGTGAAAGAGTTACAAACCATTTTAAGAGACAAGTAAGTAGTACAATGTCTGCCTCAATGAACGGAATATTTTCTACGTTAGTGTTAATTCGTAGCCAGAAGTAAATGCGTTTCACACACATGGTTTCACTTGAATTACACATAATTGCTCGTTAGCAAGAAAAAGTTCTAGATACTCATCGTGTTTAATTCATATTTACATGCATGTATGTATCGAAATAATTATATACAAGCATGTATAAATCATGAGGTACTAGAGATTGATAGCAAAAGGATTGGCATGTATTATTTGTTAATAGACACAATGTACCCATATTTTATAGGAATACCACAAGGAGTGATTTCAAGTTCTATGCTGATCGTCTGGTAAGACACGTTTAACATCATGATATGTATGAATATATTGTAATAAAATTATTTGTTTGAATAAAGATATCTAGACAGATGTCTGAAAAGAATCCAAGTAATTGTCACACATGTGTGTGCAACAATTATTAACTGTCTATGAAATATAAGAATAAGAGCTGTGATACATGGATTTCTTTTTTTAAAATATTTTAGATCAGGTTGGTTATTGAAGAAAGTTTGAACCAACTACCTTTTTCAAAATGCGTAGTAACAACTCCAACTGGTGCTCAATACAAAGGTTTAAAGTATCAGAAGGGAAATTGTGGTGTATCCATAGTTAGAAGCGGAGAAGCTATGGAACAGGTATGAGATAATTTTTTTTAAGGCTAAATATACCAAACTCATATAAAATATTTATTTATATAAATATATGTGTAATTAATATTTTTGTAGGGTCTTAGAGACTGCTGTCGTAGTATCAGAATTGGTAAGATCTTAGTTGAAAGTAATGCAGATACACATGAGGCTAGAGTAGTTTACGCTAAATTCCCTGATGATATATCGGAGAGGAAAGTTTTGTTGATGTATCCAATAATGAGTAAGTATTGATAAATATATCCTAATAAGTAAATTTTATCTGTTTATACATTGAAGATAAGAGGATAAAAATATATATTTATCATATATACACATAGGCACTGGAAACACTGTCATCAAAGCTATAGCTGTATTAAAAGAACATAACGTGCTCGAAGAAAATATTATCCTATCAAATTTGTTTTGTACGCCAATTGCAGCCAAATCTCTAGTCACTGCCTTTCCTAAGGTAACTTTTGCCATGTATTTATATACGTGTGATATCAAATATTACGTTTAAGATATTTAACAATGTGTATTATTTCTAACATTTAAATATATTTAATGTTCTCCTTTTTTTTTTTACAGATGAAGATCTTAACGTCAGAGATCCATACCGTCGCACCGAATCATTTTGGACAGAAATACTTTGGTACGGATTAATTATATATCTATTATTAATCATATTTCATTACTGCATAATATTCTAAGACGCAAAACATAATAAATAAAGAGAAAATCAATGAAGAGAATGATTACATGCTACAAAAAATTATTATATAAGCAAGTTTTATATTTAAAGTTATTATATTTAACAAAAGAAATCAATGAATACAAAACAATAGAATCTTAATTATTTATATGATAGAGATATTCAAAGAGATTTCATTATATGAAATCTAATTATTTAAGTATTTAATCGTTCAAGTACTTAATTATATTTCATAATATTTTTTAAATATTATATAATAGACGATAAATAAACACATAAAGTAGTAATATAAGTAAATTTAATGAATTTATAGATATTGTTATAGTGATTTGATTTATATTTTCTTATAAATTAAACTATAAAAATCTTCAGTTATGAATTTGTCTTGAATTATTAAAACTACCAACTGTAAACATTCTCTTGATTATCTCTGTGTATAATAAGACTGTAAGTAATATATTTGTTTTAATCGTACTTATATATAGAACTGATGGAATATCGACAAAATAATTGATATTTTTACACAATAGCATCATTTGGTAAACAACAATTTTTCACTAAATTTTGCTAATTATTTTCTTGTGTTTACAATAGATACTATAGATATATTAATGAATTCTGTGTGATACATCAAGTATTTGCATAAAATATAACTAAGATAAGCAAAGTAGCAAATGCGGTAATGGCTACCAATTCTGGCATTGAATACATATACATACACACATCTCGTAAATACGTATAGGAATCACCGTCCCAATGAAAAGTGAAGAATTCGGTAGATAAACGACATCTAAAAGCTTGACATTACAATCGTTTTCAAAATTGTTTTTTTATTTTATGATTTCATTAGATTTTATCGTTGAAAATGTTATTGAAAAGTGTAAGGATCTTAACTGACATTAAATCTCTAAATACTTCTAAATATCATGGTGCATACGTAATGTCAGGTTTTCCATATGCACAGTATATATGCATGTGTATTATATCTGTATATAAATATATAGTGGGAAGATTATATCAGTTACAGCATGTGCTTAATGAACATTATACATAATATTTTCAAATTATTCATAACATCACTTTCTTCTTTTTATCTTTTTATATTCAGATCTGACTTGTCGTTTCGTTATATTAATATACATAATATTAACGTATAAATTCCATATAACAAAATCGAGACCCATTAATGAATCTCAAGTCACGTAATGAAATATATTGTCGAATTTCTAACAATACATGCATAATAATTGGGCATTTTACAGGTGCGTACAGTTAATGATGTCTACATATTTTTTGTAGTATATGTATTTTACAGGCATAATTTATATGTGAGAAATTACTGTGTCTACATAGTCATAATACGAAGTGTAGTTTAGAACGTATTATAACAGTTTCGAACGTATATAATATTTATAATTTATTAATTATATTTATGCATAACCACACATTTCTGGGGAAAATACTATACATATGTAATAAAATGAAAGAAAAGTTAATCCAAGGTCCTCATATCAATATTTTTTTAAGATACAATAATTTCAATTCATTCTTGATTGTTGCATTTAATACATAATTTTTAATGGAATATATTTGTACATCGATATTTATATAATTATATACATATTCTTCTTAGCACACCTTTAGTTAGAACGGTACAAACGTTACTCGAAGTAACTTTACACTTACAACGCGTTTTGTTTAATATAGAGAAAATTGAGCAGTATAACGCACCGCCTAATTTATTTATTTACTGATCAAGTATTTGTCATGCAAATATTCTGATGAGGAGAATATTTCTAACTATTTATTAATGTCAGTTAAGAACAAAGAATGGAATATATACAACTGGGACTGTACACCTTGAAAACTATTTTATGTACATGCAATCTATAAAGTCAAATTAGCATAAACTATAATAGCTAAAGCTCAATAAAACTGAAAGCTGAGAAAATCATCATATAGAACTTTATATATCTTTGATATCTTTATCAACAGAACTACATTTATGCAGCTTTTACATGTAGCAAGTTTTAAATAGAAATATAAAGACCCACGTATGATACTTTGTGTGATTTTTCAACAAGTAATAATTTTCATACATTCTCGTTCAACTTACCGATATGGAATTTTAGTGCTTATGTCTCGAATTAAAGGAAATATGTTTAACTCCAAATATATAAAATTAGTTCTTGAAAAATCTAGATTGCCTGAGACATTCTTATTAAACTATTTGCCTTATAACGTGCCTATGAAAAAGCTGCATTCAATAGTTACAATAATATCGCAGTAAGACCAACAATTTATGTGATATAAATTCTTGTTATTGAATGAGATGTTTATACACATGATATTATTTAAATTATAAGTTTATTTACACTAGTAATTGTTTCACATCTTTCGTATCTGAGTAACAAGTTTGTTTAATAAAGATATTGTATCACAATGCGTAATATTGATAAATACAGATATATGTGCACAGTGATCATTAGTTACTTAATACGGCAAATATGATATAAATAAATGTAATCTTGAAAATGGACTACGTTTTATTTTTATCTTTATTTATGTTTTTTTTTAGTGTATTAATATATTTAGAGGACACTTACCACTTATTTATACTTATCTAGTATAAGTTATGTATATTTCTGTTTTCGTTATAATAACAAATGAAAATTATACTTTTATAACTTTATTACTTTTAATTGATTCAATATTAATATATTTCGCAATTCGTTAAGTTTATTCATTGCATATTTTCTTTCTTTTTCTCTTTTATCTTCTCTGATGATAATTGCAAAATGTATTTTGTGATATATTACATTATTAGTTATATAAAAAATATTCAAAATATGTTTGTGGTACACTGATATATGACGTCGATATAATTAGCGCTGAGAAAAATACTGAGCGCTGAGAAATTTACTGAGAAAAATATAAATACACGATGAGTGGTATCTTACACTTTATTAGTGATTGTATGCCGACAGCCCAATTTCATTTCATCGGAAACAGATTTTGCAAAGTGTCTGCTACAAATTTTGTTAGTAGTTTGTTGGTAGTTTTCCAGCAGAAATATAACAGAATCTGTTAACAGAGTATGGAACGACAGATTGATGGCAGAAACCAAACAGAATCTGCCGTTTGATTTAAATGTATTTAAATTACAAATATATAGTAGACTCTGCTCGGTTTCTGTCGTCAATCTGCTGTTCGGTTATGTTGGCAGGTTCTGCGGATAGAACACGAACTTAATGCGGACGCAATTGATGTCGGATTTGCCACAATATTCTGATCGAGTCTGTTGGCGTATTGTTAACATTTTGCTTACTGGGATACATGTAGATAAAAAAATTTTAGCAGGTATTGGTAAAAATTTTCTTGATATTTTCACATGAGCTTATTGCGGAAACATATTATCAAAAACATATTGATAATTATTGATTTCAGGCTCGTTATTCGTTACAACGTATTGGAGACACCAAAATATACAGGAGAAAGATAGTTGGGGAATTAGCTACTATTTCTATTCTTATTGTTGAATTTTAATCGATCAAATTGCAAATTTTATCAGCTTAAGAAGTAAACATACGTCACAATTTGTAGATCAACTAGATTACATGTTATTTTTAACCTGAGAGAGTTGAGTAATATTTTCAGATATCATATATATACTAAGAAAAGAAATATATTTTCTACATATTCAGAAATATATTTGAGAAAAATAGTATTCGCTGTTTCAAATTTGTTATAAGCTCTAATAAGCATATGGCTATAGGCTCTAATAAGCATATTATTAAATATCGTATCTATGTACTTACCGGAACTAACAATTAAGAAATAGTGTAAAGTTAATAGAATAAACATATATTCTATTTACATATTTGCATA